TTTTTTTTTGTAACTCGGTCTACGCTGAATATGCCAAGTTCAATGCGTCACAGTTACGTAAGATCCAATCAGCACGGAACACGCTCAGAATCATATTCACTTCGTGTAGGGGTAAAGAATGTTTTCATACTTTCTCCTCTAAGAGCATACGGCAGACCGGAGATCGTTTCGGAAGAGGGAGGAGCTATGCGAAGGTCAAAGGAAGTTCACTTTCCTGTAAACTACCTTTACATCTACAGTATCCCCAAGAGATTTTGAGCTCGCTGATTGGATTTCTCGGCATTGCCTTCTGTTACGTATTTTTGTATTCCTGCCCCAATATCATTTCTCCGTAGTTTGTTTACAGAATAGGAATCAATCATAAATCAGTTCCAGTATATTCCTCTTACAAATTTTAAAACAAATGCTAAAGTTTTGTATAAAAAATAAAATAGCGTCAACAATGGTCTTTTAAGAATAACACATTTATTTAAATCTATTTTGCTTTAAATTGTATTCTTATATTTTCTTAATTTGTTTAAAATATTTTTTTTTACGTTTCTTTATAATATTTTTTAATATTAAAGTTATGAATTTCAGGTAAAAGCAAGGTAAACAACCATCTTTTGGTAAAACATAAAATCAGCACAACATTAATTATTAAATATTAATTAAAGTTTTATTAGCTAGCTTTTATATAATAATTATAAGAATTGATTAATATTCAAATTGAATAGTATTATGAATTAATTCCGTTTAACTCCACTTCGTTACTCAATCTATCAAATAGATGTAGATATTTTCAATCTCGCCTTCCTTACTAGTAATTCGCTAGATTTCAAACGAGTTTTTATTTAATTTAATTTTTTTTAGTTAAAAAACCAATTTATAATCTCTAATATGTATAATTTTATCTCTTAATTTTTCTCTAATTTCTATATCTCTAATTTTTTCCCCTTAGCAACTGCTAATTGTATTTTGAATTAAATATGATTTCACCTTCTACGCCGAATGTCTGTTTATCGGGTAATTGCGATGTAGATAAGTCACTGACATATTTTACCCTTCATTTATATTTTTAAACTCTGTATCCAAAAAGGGTAAATATTAGTCGTTTTTAAAATAATTATTTAAGCGAGGAACAAACAAAAGCACTACTGACATCTAAGGAATCACTAGTGAGGGAGGCAGAATAAAAATGTCAAGACAAAATTGATAATCAGATGAAAATTAGAGGTGTGCCTGATAATATCGTTTAACTCCACTTTGTTACTCAGTCAATCAAATAGATGTAGATATTTTCAATCTCGCCTTCCTTACTAGTAATTCGTTAGATTTCAAACAAGTTTTTATTTTTTTTCTAGTTAAAAAAAAAACTAATTCATGATCCCTATTATATATACTTTTGTAATTTTTGTTGTCCCTTTAGCAACAGCTAATTGCATTTTGAGTTAAATATGGAGATTCACCTACAATTATTTCAGCCTCTGAGCTGAATGTCTGTAGATCGGCTAATTCGGGGGCAGACAAGTTGCTGAAATATTTCATCTTGGTCTTTATTTTCTCGGACATTTTTAATATTTGTGCATGGCGCAGCGGTTGCAGTTAGCAGTT